GACCTCCAACCTCAGACCTCGAAGCTTGCCGACGATAGCCCCCCCCCCGAGCCGGTCCTCCCCCCGCTCCTGCCGCTGCTCCTCGCCAAGAACTGTACACACTTCTCGATGTGTGCGTGTCATCCTTGCGCAGGGGCCATGCTGATCTTCTCTGCATCGTTCCGATTTTAACGGATGATCCCCGAAGGGAATCCGCCGCTGCTCCTCACAAAGAGGAGGAGGAGGAGGAGGAGGAGGAGGAGGAGGAGGAGGAGGAGGAGGAGAGGGAGGAGGAGGAGGAGGGAGGAGGAGGAGGAGGAGGAGGAGGAGGAGGAGGAGAGGAGGAGGAGGAGGAGGAGGAGGAGGAGGAGGAGGGGGGGGCTCCTCACCAAAGGGGGGCTGGCCCCCGACGGGGGAGCGCGAGCGGACCGCGGGCACGCGTCCGACGGGTCTCCGCCAGGCAGCGGCCCTGCCCTGCGAGGCGGGGCCGAGCGTCCGGGCCCCGCGCCGTGCGGGGTGGCCACGGGGGAGGCAGGGAGGGCAGGCCGCGGAGAGGGGGCCTTTGATCGCCGTCGGTCGGCGGACGTCACGCTCTACACAGCAACACCGTCGAACCCCAAGGAACACCCGCAGCAGCCTGAAAGCACGCATGGTGGTTCTAGGCACGGGCTTCCGCTGTATGAGAAGACGGGCCGCGGTGCGGGGGCCTCTGATCGCCGTCGCGGTCTGCGGACGCAGGGCGTGCTGGCACAGAAGCGTTCGGCTGTCCCGCGGGGCCCCTGCCCTGCGAGCGGGGCCGAGCGTCTGGGCCTTGCGCTGTGCGGCGGCCATCGGGACGCAGGAAGACAGGCCGCGGTGGGGGCATTTGATCGCCGTCGGTCTGCGGACGCGGGCGTACCCATCGGTCGGAAGAAGTAGGTAGAAACATGAAGTAGGAAGGCGTTGGAAACAGATCGGGTTTCCGCCCCGCCTCCTGAAGAGGAGGGAAGAGGCAAAACCACTCGACTCTTGAAGTAGGAAGGCGCTGGAAGTAGATTGGAATCTGGGAATCCAAAAAGACCTACTTTCAACGACCGATGGGTACAGAAGAGTTCGGCTGTCCCAGCCGCGAGGCTGACACACCAGCGGGGCGACATGGCACGGCTTCGCCTCGGCGAGGGCCGCCTCAGGGCGGGGATTTCGCGAGCCCCCGCCCCTCGCGGATCGGCCCTCGGTGAATCCAGGGTATGGAAGCTGGTGGAACCCCAACCGTGGAGCGGCCATGGATATCACCGCCGCCCTCATCGGATAAGGAATCCTCGAGGGTCTGAAGCCCTCTGGACACGCTCCTTAACCAACGCCCCCACCGAAGGCCTGTCCTGCGAGCGTGGCCGAAACTCTGGGCCCCGCGCTGCGCGGCGGCCCGTGGGACGCAGAAGGACCCACCAGTACCATGCGCCCTCCTCGGAGGCGCACGTCCGAGCCGAACCTGCAGTACAAACACCATCAGAGTGAGGGGGCCGAACGGTCCCTCATGGTCCCTGGGTGCGTGGCTGGAGTGGAGTTCCGCGGCGCGGATTCGGTTTGTTGCTTGTTGCGGTCGAGCCACCCGCGACCGACCCGCGACCCACCCCGCGAGCCACCCGCGAGCCACCCGCGACCCACCTCGCGACCCACCTCGCGACCCACCCGTGTTCCACCCCGCATTGCACCCCGCGGCCGCCCCCTCTTCTCCGCACCTGCGGGTTGCTGCCTGGAGTACTGCGGGGGGCCCCAGGACACACTGATAAATACACACAAATCCCAGGATGCCGCATATCTTTCCGCATATCTTCTGGGTCTTCGTCTTCCCCACCCACCCCCCCACACTTCCCATATTTTCCCTCACTGTCTGAGGAGTCGACGATGAACTGTGTCTGTGTGTTTCTCCTCCTGGAGCAGGTCGCTTCCCGAGCGGCCGCGGCGAGAGACTGCGCCCGCCACGGAGCTTCTGCTGCATAAAAGAGACTCCCGAGCGCGCGCGTCGCCCCGGGCGGGGCCGACGCGCGCGCGCTGCACACTCTGACGGCGCGCACCAAAGGAGGGGCAACGGGGGGAGAGGGGGGGGGAGGCTTCTTAGAAGCCGGGGGAAGGCTTCCCGCCTCCCCCGACCTGTGCACTCTGACGGCGCGCACAGAAAGGAGGGGCAAGGGGGGGGGGGGGGGGCTTCTTAGAAGCCGCGGGAAGGCTTCCCGCCTCCCCCTACCTGTGCACTCTGACGGCGCGCACAGACAGGAGGGGCAAGGGGGGGAGGGGGGGGGAGGCTTCTTAGAAGCCCGGGGAGGCTTCCCGCCTCCCCCTACCTGTGCACTCTGACGGCGCGCACAGAGAAAGGAGGGGCAAGGGGGGGAGGGGGGGGGGGGAGGCTTCTTAGAAGCCCGGGGAGGCTTCCCGCCTCCCCCTACCTGTGCACTCTGACGGCGCGCACAGAAAGGGGGGGGTATGGGGGAAGGGGGGGAGGCTTCTTGGAAGCCGGGAGGGCTTCCCGCCTCCCCCTACCTGGGGGGGCAACGATCGGGGGGGGACTGGCAGGGGGGGGATGCATCGACCTGGAATCGGCGACACATCGCCGATAGATCGGCGATAGGCCCCCGATAGTGAATCCGCACCTTCCTGCTTCCTGGGCGGGTTGGGGCTATGACACCCCTGTCGGGGATCAATGGGCGATTGGGGGTCGATGCATCCCCCCTTTGCCCCCCCCCCCTATCGTTGCCCCTGATTATCCCCTCTGCGCGTGGCTGAATAACAAGTATGTTTCAATGGTGACGAGCCCTGGCCACTCCATCGAGAGCCAGAGCAGCGAGCGACACGGCAAAGGTCACCGCTTCTCACGGCGTGGGCTGGAGGGACGGAGGGACGGAGGGGGGAGAACGGCCCGTGGTTGGAGTCCATGGAGGCTGGGGGGGTGGAACGGATGGTGGGGATGGCGGACGGAGGATGGAGGGGGCGGAGGCTGAAGGATGAGGGACAAAAGATGTGGGAGGGGGGACGGAGGACGGGGGACGGAAGTTGGATGATGGATGGTGGGGGATGGAGGTTGGAGGATGAGAGGTGGGGGATGAGGGACGGAGTATGGAGGATGCAAGTCGGAGGAAAGAGAGGAGGAAGATTGAAGAAGAAGAGAAAGACGACGGCGACCTCGAGCGGGGGGGAAGGCGGGAGGACAAGGAGGCGGGGAGAGGAGTGAGGATGGACGACGGCAACGACGAGCAGTACGAGGGCGGGGAGGAAAGGAGAGGCGGGGAAAGAGAGAGAAGGAAGTAGAGGAAGGGAGGGAGGGGGCAGGACAAGGAAGAAAGAAGGCGGGGAGACGGAGGGCGGGAGAGGTGGAGCGGAATTGAGAGGGACGGAGGGAAGGAGGAGGAGAGATGCGGGCGGAGGAAGGGAGGAGAAATGGAGAGCAAAGAGAGAGCAGGCGAGGGAGGGGACGAGGGGCGCGGGCGGAGGGGTGAGAGACGAGGGAAGATCAAGGTTGGCGGAAGGAGCATCGGACGACGGAGGGAGCCAGCCCCCCAACCCGCAGGGGAGTAGTGGGGGGGGGGAGCGAGGGGGAGACGGGAGGAGGCTGATCAGGCCACAGGCGTCTCGCGCGCCAGAGCCTCGCTGAGCGAGGTCCTGGCACCTGGCAAGGGCCAACGTCGCCACGGCCCCTTGCGGACACGGTGCAGGACTAGCCAACACCGCATCGGGAGATCATATCGAACCCGGCAGCACCGGCACGGCGTCGGAATCGAATCGGAGCAGCCGCGCCAAGATGCACAGCGGCGCCGTGCGGGCATCGGGCCGCATCGGATCGTCGGAAGCTCGGATCCGAACTGGGTCGACCTGGAGATGCTCCATATCGAACCCGATCAATCGTATCGAAAGGAACCCTGGGCGGCCGCTGCCTGGAGGGCGTGCCTGGTCGATGCGGCCTCGCACCGCAAGAGCGGCACGATGCAAAAGCAGACGCCCAACTGCTGGATGCTGGCACTGCCTGGTCCTCCGTCGGTGCCCAGGTCCTTCCCCGCAAAACCTTCTCACCTCTTCCTCCAGGCACTGAACATGCTGAGGACTGCCGCACCCGCCTTCCACAGAACTACACGTCGTTCATTTCTAATCGTGCTCAGTTCTAAGTGTGCTCGTTTCTGATTGTTCATGGCCCCCTAGTGGCCAGGAAGAGGCCCAGGATAGAACAATTAGAAATGAAAGGATCCTGGCCCCCCAAAAACTCAAAGAACTCTCGAATAACTGGAAATGCACAATGTGCAATTCTTATTCGGTGACGCTGCGGGTATGTAGGCCTTGTCTTGGTGCAGTGATTGCACCAGGCCGAGTGGCCCAACATTGCTCTCGCAGCTTCACCAGACACAAGTCCACGTGCCCAGACCCCCCGCGTCGTGCTTCGCTCACATCGTGAACCCCAGGAGGTCTCGACCCCTTACCTTGGACGGGTTTCTCATCTTGAGCAGTTTTCTGATGGTCCCCAAGAGAGGGCGCCTCACAACCCGAACATTGAAAAAGCAACTCCCGCCGTGATTGTTGCCCGACGCGAGGAAGTCTGGGTATCAGAGAAGACGGCCTCCTGGCCTGGGGAATGTCTGTGCTCAGGGGTGATGGTCACCGACGCGCTGAAAGCAACCTAAGAGCAATGCGAACCCGCGAACAGAGCGAGGCCAGTTCCCCCACGCACGGAAATACCTCGAGCCACACTGGCTGCGGCCGCCGACTTGGGCGTCGTCGTCGTCATCCTCCTCCACTTTCACAACCTTCCTCCCTCCCTCTCTCGCGCCCCTCCTCCCTCTCCCCGCATCCTCCCCAACGACGCTGCTGCGCCTCCTCCTCCCTCCAACTCCTCCTCCTGCTCCCGCTCCTCCTCCTCCTCCCCCTCCCCCCCCTGCTCACCCTCCTCATCCAGCTCGTTGTCCTGCTCCCTCTCGACCTCGTCCTCCTCGTCATCGCCGTCCCCTTCCTCCTCGACCTCGTCCTCGACCTCGTCCTTCTCGTCCTCGACCTCGTCCTTCTCGTCCCCCTCCTCCTCTCCGGTCGGCCTTCTCGCGCTTCTCCACCAAGTGGTTCACGGTCTCCAGCGCGGAGGAGATGTCGGGGAGCTTGGCCCTCCCGGTGCCCGGGCGGGGGGGGAAGGGATCGGCCAAGGCCCTGCGGCGGGGCCGAGAACAGCTGCATGCAGCAGACTCCGCCACGCCCCCTCCCAAACCAACCCTCTGCGGGCATGCCCCCAGGGGGGGGGGGCGGGAAGAGGGGGGCGTCAGGGCATTCGTGGCCCAAGGCATGTGTGCGGACGGGGGGCGGCCAGGGGACGTGCTGAGAGAAGAAGAGGGGGGCATGAGACCTGGGAGATATCACGGCCCCGCCCTTCTCGCCACACACCGCCCAAATCGCCACACACACACACACAACCTCGCCCTCACCCCTCACGTGGACGCCTCCGAACTTGCGTCCGACCCGACTCTAGACTCTAGACCCTCCCCTGGGGACCAGCTGGCCGATTCCGGAAACCCTGAACCAAAGCACCGCGCTTCCGCGGGCTTACGCCGGCCTTCCGCGGGCGGAGGCGGCCCCGTTCTGCTTCCGCCCAGTTCAGCTGGCCTCCCACCGAGAAAGAGACGCCAACTCTTCCGATCCAAGAAGGCGAGGCCGTCTGGAGCGCCCAAGCTGTTCATCCTGGATCACCCTCTTAGGGAGCCCACAAAAGACGTACATGAACAGGGCCCCTTGACCCGCGAGACCGGCCGCGTGATACGAACTGTCGCGCAATGCGAACTCTGGAAACCAGCGTGGATTCATGTACGTGTACGTCCTTCTTTCGCTCCTGACCCTCTGACGGCCGCAGGGGGTCTCGGAGAACGGCCCGCAGAGAGGCCCCGAGAGCCACGGCGACGAAGGCCTCCGCCGTGCCTTGCCGCCGAGACGCTGGCGGCCCTCTGACGGCCGCAGGGGGCCTCGGAGAACGGCCCGCGGAGAGGCCCCGAGAGCCACGGCGACCGAAGGCCTCCGCCGTGCCTGGCCCCCGAGACGCCGCAGGGCCCGGCTCGCCGCGCCCTCCTCGCGGCACGAGGTGGCCCTCCCACCCTCGGGCGGTGGAGACTCACGACGGAAGGCCCTCGGCGACCTTCGGCTTCTCTCAAGGGCGTCCAAAGGGAGGGGGGGTGCAAGAGGGGGGTCCAAGAGGGGGTCAAGAGGGGGGGGGTCCAAGGGGGGGGTCCAAGGGGGGGGGGTCCAAGAGGGGGGGGGGGGGGGGCGCATCTTTCCCCGAAGGCCCGAACACCCTCGGGCTGTGGAGACTCGCGGCGGAAGGCTCTCGGCGATCTTCGACCTCTCTCAGGGGCGCCCAAGGGGGGGGGGGGGGGCCCGAGGCATGGCACGTCCACGGGCGAGGAGCGAACCAGGGGACCGTCTTGCAGGGAGCAGAGGGGCGCCGCGAAACCTGGGGAGACCTCGTGCCCCCGCCAGGAGATCTGGTGTCCGCCCCCGCTCGGTCTCCTCGCGGGGCCCTTGCTTTGGACGCCCGACATGGGAACCGAAAAACTGGGTACGATGCCCAACAACAAATGTTGTCCCAAACCAACAGCGGCCGCTGTTGGGCAGGCGGCCTCCAGTCTCGAATGGACACAGGCCGCGGCGGCGTCGACAGCGAGGCCTGTTCAAAATGAACAGGAACTGCTGTTGGGCATTGTACCCATTCTTTCGGTGCCCATTTCGGGCGTCCAGACTTGCAGCCCCCGGGGCCGTCCACGGCACGGCCCGCACCGAAAAAAGCCGGCGCCCCGCACGCCGAGACCCAGGCCGCCGGCGCCCGCGGGGAGCGGGGAGCGGTCGGCCCGTCGCGCCCGCAGCGGATGCGGGCCGGGACCGGCGAGGCGCGACGCGCGGAGCAGACGCTCCTGAAGCGTCGGGCGGGGCTTAATGGGGGGGTCATAAACGGGGGGATCAGAAAAGGTCCCCTTTCGTGCCCTTTTCGGGCCCCTCCAGAGCCCCAAGGGGGCTCGTTCAGGTACCGTTTGGGTACCTTTTCGAACCACTCTCGCCACCCCCCCCATTTATGACCCCCCCATTACGCGGCGCCCAAAAGCGTGTATTGCGTGCGGCCCCAGCATCCCCTCGCCCAGTCGCCCCCAGTCTGGCTCCACAGGATCCCCGACGCGGGATCTTTGTCACGACGTCGACCCTCAGGGGTCTCGACGCCTTCCCCCAGACCGGCTCTGCGTCCCGAGTCGTTGTTCTGTGACGGCCCCGAGGCCCAGCAGGGGCCCCCAGATGCCGAAACCGCGGGAACACCTCCCGTCGTGATCTGTTCACTGCCCGAGGGGGTCTGGCGCTCGAGCGTCGCCGTGCTGCCCACGAGGGCCCGCAGCCTGTGAGGAGCGGAGGGGCTCTCTGCCGCGGCGCGGCCTCGGCTCGTCGTGCCTGCGGCGCGCGGCGGGGCCCAAGGAACTACGCAGCAGGGCGTGTTGGTGATGGGCGAAGGCAGGGAGGTTCTTCACACACTGGGTTTCGGATCGGCGGCGAGCGAAGGGGGGGGAAATGAGAAGGAGAAGGCTTTCTCGGAAGGCGGCGGGACTTCTCCGAAGCCCTCGCGCCTTCTGAGAAGTTGGCTCTGTCTTCGGGGAATTTTTAGAAGACTTATCAGAAGGCCGGGGGACTTCCGAACCTTCTGAGAGGGCCTTCTCATTCTCAGTTGCCCCCTTGGCTCGCCGCCGATTGAATGCGTGGGGTTCTCGTTACAAAAGGTCGTAGACTGAAAGGACTGGCGCGCGACAGAACACATGCGATGTATAAAAAACAAAAACGCATGCCCGGATGCCAGTCAGAATGCGCCCCTGCGCGGAAGATGCGGCAAAAGGGTCGCGCACCTGGTGGTGTAGGGGGGACCAGCTGAGGCCGGACACACCACTCCGGGGTGGTCTGATTTGGGGGGGATCTGATTTGAGCTGTCTTGGAAGGTTCCAGTTGGGCCTGGGCAATAGGCCGGCTGGTCTGGGGAGGGTCTAAAACTGCTCGTCTGGGAGGGTTTGTGATCCCCTCCCTTGTATTACGAAATTTGAATAGCACGAATCGGCGATGCATCGCCGACAGATTGGCGATGTGGGCCCCGAGAGTTAAACCCCGCACGCTTCTGGGTGTGGGGCGGGCTCAGGCCCGTAACCCGGCGATGAGAGCGGGCGATTGGGGGCCGATGCCCCCTGAGCCTGATTACGGTCGGACCACGGACGGAAGAACATCCTTCAAGTTGGGCGTCGCTTTATCGAGGGGGCGGTAAACGGGGGGTGCGGAAGGTGCACTTATCGGGCCCTATTGGGCCCCTTTTGAGCCCCTAAGGGGCCCCTTCATGGGCCCCAGAGGGCCCCTGTTCTACAGCCCTCGATGTGCCCCCCTTAATCCCCCCCAATGCGCGAGCCCCGATCAAGAACATGAGACCCTCCGCTGGTCAAAACACACAGAACATCCAAGGGCACCCTCTCCCAGGATGCAGAAGAACATCCAGCAAGCACGAAGAACATCGGGGTACCCTCCCCGAACCGACCTCGATCTTATGCCTCGGTCCGACCCTGTCCCGCCCCTGTATCGTCGTCCAATCCCCTAGCTTTCGGGTCACAGCTCGGTTCTCCCGCGGCCGTTCGGGGCGATTCGGGCACGCCTAGGACACTCCCGGCGAGGCGCAGCCGCTGGAGAGCACACCAAGGCTAGAAAACCGCCGAGAACTGGCGACAGGGCCAGAAAGCCTCGATCATCGAAACCTCTCGGCCCCCCCTGTCATTGCCCCTGAGGTCCCAGAACTCCGACGAATGTGCATCACAACGTGGACCCCTTAGGCCTGGACCCCTTTCCCCTGGGACCGGCGTTTCGTCGTGAGCCGCCTTTTGACGGTCCCTTCGAACAGGATCCCCCTCAACAAAATCATCCGTCGTGATTTTGTTGGCGCAGCGCGAGGAGGCCGTGGCACAACCGAGGCCACGCCGGGCTCGCGCGCGCGCTGGAGCGCGCGCCGCGGCGGGCGCTGGCACGCAACGCGTCCTCCGTCCACACCGCTCCTGGACATGTCGCGGGGGGGGGCTCCTCGGCCACTGTGTTGACGCCTTAGCTGCACTGTCAATGCCTCGCTGTCCTGGGGCCTTGCTGCCTTCCCGCTCGCGAGAGCGTGTGACACGCGTGCGGGGCTGCCCTGTCAACGCCACGCCCTCCCGTGGCTCTGCAACGCTCGAGGAGGCGGAGAGCGCGGCAGGTCCGTCCCACCAGTGGCACGCCTGAGGCAGGATCTCTGCGCGTTCAGTGACGTCTGCATGTACTGGTACTTGGTGTACAGCTCCTGCGCGTCGCGTCCCCCATCGGATCGACTCGCAGGGAGCAGGGAGCAGGATGAGGAAGTGAAGAACACAGACCACGACCAAGACCAAGATCAAGAAACGCCAGGGACTCCAACTCGGGCAGGGGGAAAACATGCGTGGGCGGATGCCCGCGGAATCCGGAAACCCCGAGGGGGGGAGACACCCCCGCTGGCCCCGAAAGCGGGTCCCGAAGAGCGAATGGCCGCGCGGGGTGCCTTCGGGCACCACCAGCAGACAGAGCCGCTACCGTCGTCTCGAATCTCAGAGGAAGGAGGAGGAGAAAGAGGAAGGAGGATGAGCAAGAGGAAGGAGGAGGACGAGGAGGAGGACGGGGGCTGCCAAGCCTCCTGTCCAGAGAACCTTCGCGTGCGCCAGGAGGCCTGCACAGCTACTCTCCTCTCCAGAACAGTGGCGGCGCCGACCAGGCTGCTGCAGCTTATGACGAGCATGTCCAACAAACACCCAACCGACCTCGAAGCCGCCCACCAGCAACACCGCTCCAACCCGTCTCGGCTCCGGAGCGAGCTGATGAACCTGTGCAACCAGGCCAAGGTCAACTACGCAGGGCTGCATGTTGCCAACACGCACAATGAGGGCACCATCTGTGACCCACCAGGGTTCCTGGCCTCGGCCGTTATCCACCAGGATAACGGCACAGCCCCTTATCATCAGCCTCGATGCGCCAAAGTGGAATTTTCCGATCGCGCCTGCGCTCAAGAGGGCCGACTACGGGATCTCACACACCATTAGCATTCCACAATACTCGGCCGAGCACAGAGAGCTATCAGGCTACGACGAAGACTCTGACGAAGAGTACTTATCCAAACCAATCGTCCAAAAAATTCTCGATCAGACCGACGCCTGGTTCCGCAGCCTCGAAGCGGAGCAGTAGAGGCTCGCGGACATAGTAATTTGCCTTGGAACCACGGTGACCACCAGCCAAGCCACACCGGTCCAGCAATGCCACCAACTCGAGACATGGATCGCCTCCGTCCAAGCGGAGCAAGCAAGCCTGAACACAGACCTTAAGGCCTGCATGACAAAGACGCGAGCGGACGACTTGGACGGCAGGTGGGGTCCCCACGTCGAGGCGGACGCGTGCCCCTGCGACGAATGGAGCCCCTGCGAAGAATGTGACCCCTGCGACGAGTGGACCCCAGCGTGCCAGGTAGTGCCTTGGCCTATCGGGCATGAGCCTAGGCCCATCAGGGTAAACGCAAGGCCCACCAGGGCCGACGCGCTGCCCGACACCACAGGCCTCGTCCCGCCACCTGCGCCCCCGCCCATCCAGGAAAGCACCGAGGCAAGGGTCACCAACAAAGTAACAAAAAAAACAAAATGTCGGCCAACAAGGCACCGTCATTGGCCGCACAAGGGGATCAGAATCAGTACTGGGCGGTCCTGCTGACCAGTGGCAAGACTGCCGTCCTGTTCACGTCTAGTCTGATCCCTCGCTCCCCTCAGCAGCTGGTGAGGGGCAACACTGCGTCATCGTCAGGGCCCAGGCCCACAGAGACGTCGGACTCGTCGACGGCGGGACCTCCGGCTGCTGAGGCACCAGGCCCGCCTGCGCACACTCGGAAGCCCGCGCCGGGGCATGAGCTCCCACCTCCGATGCCAACCGTCGCACCAGCGACTGCGGCACCGGCAGGGCTCAGCAGCGCTCTGGGGCTCCGTTCGCTCCGCAAGCATCGACGCGGGCCACGACCCCCCGTCGGCCCACCTCCCTCTGGAATCCTGGACGGTGACGCTGAGGAGGCCCCGCGCGAGCTCATCGGCACGACCCCTCACGAGCCCATGACCGGACAAGTGTCTGAGGAGGACACCGACACGCACCGAACGGCAAAGGGCGATGCCTGCGCGGGCGGAATCTGCCATCTGCGCGGGCAGGAGCTGCTGCTGCTTGCGCGCACGGGCGTGCAACTCCCCCCCGCTACGCAGCTGCGACAGGCGCGCTGGGATTGCTCATAGCATTGGGTGCGCTATGCAGCACAGTTTTGTTTCCCCTACCGCCGTGGGGCGATCGACGGACTTAGCCCTGGCTCGCATTTTTCATTGGAACCTCTGGGCCACGCTTTGCGGAGCACCACTCCAGTACAACAATCAAACAACATGATTAGAGCGAGCACACGCTTGATCCTCCTTGCCCTCATAGTCGCGGCCAGCCTACCAGGGCTCGCGCCCGCGACTGTGACGAGCAGTGCAACGAGCACCGAGTCTTTGTCCAGCAGGCACAGTACCAGATACCTGGCACTGCCCAGCACGACGGGGTCGGGCACCAACAGCCTCACTAGTACGAGCGAAATGAACACTGCAACGAGCACCGCGTCTTCGTCATGGACTAACACCTCGGCACTGCACAATACGACGGGGTCAAGCACCACGTCGTCGCGCACCAAAACGAGATCCAGTACCAGCAGCCGCGCAGCCAATAGCGAGAAGAGCAATACAATGAGCACCACGTCTTCGAGCGGCACATCTGGGACCACCGTGGCACTATGCAGCACGACGAAATCGAGCACTACGACGTCGAGCAGCACGACGAGTTCTAGCCCCAGCTGGCCCACATTCGCGAGTGAGACGCAGCGTGCATCTAACAACACGTCCTTCAGAAGCACCGCCGTGACCAGACGTGACGGATTTGAGCACCACGGCGTTGGACAGCGCGACGGGATCCAGCACCAACAGCCCCACATCTACGAGTGAGACGAGCAATGCGACAGGCACCGCGTCTTCGAGCAGCACGTCTGGGACCACCGCCTCGACTCTGAGCGGCACGACGGTATCAAGCCTCACGACAGGGCGCTGCCGCTGGCGTTCGTGCAGGCGCCGCCGGAGGGCGGGGCTCGGGCGGGAGCTTTTGCTCGCGGGAGCCCCACTCGCCCGGGCGGGGCGCGGGGGGCCCCGTCGGGCCCCGTCTCGTCCAGGGGGGTCCAGGCTCCAGGACGTGTGGAGGAGGAGGAGGAGGAGGAGGAGGAGGAGGAGGAGGAGGAGAGGAGGAGGAGGAGGAGGAGGAGGACCCAGCATCCAGCAGTCTCACATCTACGAGCGAGACGAACAGCGCAACGAGCATCACGGCCTGGGCGCTTCACGCCTGGGACCGCCGTGCCACCGCAGAGCACGACGCCGCTGAGCAGAGCGACGTCGAGCACGACGCGGTACATCTCCAGCAGGCTCACCCCTACGAGCGATACGAGCGGTGCATCGAACACCGCGTGCTTCAGCAGCACGTCTGCGACCAGTCACTAGACATTGAGCTACGCGACGGAGCTGAGTACCACGAATGCTGGGCAGCACGACGGGACCCGGCACCACCACGTCTGTCGACGGGGGCGGATCGGCGCAGCGTCGAACAGTACGACGGGAGCCAGCACGAAGACCCTCGCGCTGACGAGTGTGGAAAGCAGCGTGATGAGGTCCATGGCCAGCCTACCAGGGGCTCGCGCACAGTGGGCATCAGCAGCCTCACATTCACGACTGCGACGAGCAGTGCCACGAGACACACGTCCACCAGCAACACCTGCGCGACCAGCACTGGGACACCGTGCAGCACGACGGAGTCGAGTACAAACAACCACGACGTGCAATGCTACGGGACCCCGCTCTTGCAGCCCCGCACCGAGTGGGGCGAGCAGTACATGGAACACCACGCCCGCCAACAGCAAATCTGTCACCAGCGCCTCGACACCGAGAAACGCGACGGAGATGAGCGTCACGACGCTACGCAGTACGACGAGATCCTGAACCAACAGCCCCACCTCTATGAGCGACACGAACAATACAGCGCCCTCCACGTCTGCTAACAATAAGCCACGGACAAGAGCCTCGACACGGAACAACACGGCGAGACCAAGCATCGTAACGTGACGGGCCCCAGCATCAGCAGCCTCACATCTACGAGCGAGACGAGCATTGCAACGAGCAATTCGCCTTCGAGCAGCACCTGCAGCCCGATGGAAGCGAGCACAAGAGAGTCTAGTTGCACGACGGGACCCATCACCAGCTGCCTCACTCAGCGAGTGAGACGAGCAGTGCTACGCGCACCACGCCCCTTACGCCCACATCTGCGAGCAGCACCGCGATCACGAGCAGCACGACGGCGCCGTTCCCTCCCTGGCGGTTCTGGTCGCGCCACGCCTTGGAGATGCCTTTCCAGGCTCGTCCAGGCGGCCGCTGGGAGGGTGTCGGCCGCGCGGCGTCTCCAGCGGACACCCTGCAGAGACGAGAGGGGTTGGGGCCCCCTGGGGCACCGCGACTGCTCAGCACAGAGCCCCCCCCTGGCGACGTCCGCGACATTGCGGCCCCGCGCCGCGCGGAGGACAGCCAAGCTCATCACGGCAGCCCCCCAGGGCTCGACGGAGGAGTGGAGGTGGGGCCGGCACGGCAACGCGACCTCCCACGATGCACAGGCAGCATCGCGACGTTCACCGCGACGTCCTTGCGCACCAAGCTTCGCATCACAGGACGGGACGCTGGGCCGTGCTACGGGACAGCATGTGCACCACGATGCTAAAAATGCGACGGGACAGCACGCTGTGCACCACGACGCTCAAAGTGCGACGGAACGGCACAGGACGCCTCTGGAGGTGAGGAGCCACCAGGACCCCGTCCCAGGTGCCAAGCCGCCTACCACGGATGTTCCATGGGGAATTGACCACACGCAACGTAGTTCAACTCCTGCTGTCCCGCCCGCGCCCTCCCTGCGTGCGAGAAGCCACGAGGCGATGATGCCTCTGGAGGCGGGTGGCCACCAGGACCCCACCCTGGTCACCAGGCCGCCACTGGAGAGCTACGGCAGCGCAGGCGCGAACACGCTGAGCACCACGAAGGTGAGCGCGGGACGGCTCGGCACGCCGACCAACGCGACTGGACTGCACGACGTGCATCACGACGGAGGAAGTGCGACGGGACGCCACGCGATGCCCCTGGACGCGGGGAGCCACCAGGAACCCGCCCCAAGCGTGAAGCCGACCATCTTGCAAGTT